CACTGTTACCATGACTATCCACTCTTGCCTGGGTTATTGCAGTGACCTCTTTTTTGTTTGTTTGTTTGAGACAGAGGTTCACTCTTGTTGCCCAGGCTGGAGTGCAATGTGATCTCGGCTCACTGCCACCTCTGCCACCCAAGTTCAGGCAATTCTCCTGCCTCAGCCTCTCGAGTAGCTGGGACTACAGGCTTGCGCCACCACGCCTGGCTAATTTTGTATTTTTAGTAGAGACGGGGTTTCTCCATGTTGGTCAGGCTGGTCTTGAACTCCTGACCTCAAGTGATCTGCCCACCTTGGCCTCCCAAAGTGCTGGGATTACAGGCGTGAGCCACGGCACCCAGCAGGGCCTCAGTGGCCTCTTGACTGGTCACCTGCTTCCACTGGCTCCTACAGTCCATGCTTCCCAGGCAGCCAGGACTTGAACATAACAAATCAGATCATATGACTCCTCTGTTCTTGACCCCTCAGCTGCTCCCCACAGTCCTCACTGTGAAGTCCCTGCTTCTCGCTGTGCCCTGGGTGCACTGGCCCTGCTGCCCCTTCTCCCCACATGGCCCTTGAGCTGCTTCTGTGCCAGCCACAAGCTGCTCAGAGCCAACAGCTCCTGCCAGACCTCGAGGACTCATCTCCTCATCTCCATCCTGTCTCCTCCTACCCTGCTGTGCCAGGCCCTGCGTGGAGATGATGTATAGCAGGGGTTATATCTTGTTCCCTTGGATGCGCAGAGCCTAGCACAGTGCCTGGCACACAGTAGGAGCTCACTCGACACGTTTGTTGAATGAAGGAAGGCTGTACCTTCTTCCAAATCTCTGTTCAAGAGTTGTTATGGACTGGGCAATAATTGCAGCACTTGAGGAGGCCAAGATGGGAGGATCGTTTGAGCTCGTGAGTTTGAGACCAGCTTGGGCAACGTGGAAAAACCCCATCTCTACAAAAATATACAAAAATTAGCCCAGCAGGGTAGCTCGTGCCTGTAGTCCTAGCTACTCACTTGGGAGGCTGAAAGTGAGAAGATCACTTGAGCCTAGGAGGTTGAGGCTGCAGTAAGCCAAGCTGTGATCATACCACTGCACTCTGGTCTGGGTGACAGAGTGACACCCAGGCTCAAAAAAAAAAAAAAGTTGCTGCTGGTCTGATGATCCTTCCTGAATGTGCCTGTCCTAGACCTCAGCCCCTGCTGCCACCTTCCTCCAGTCAATGACAGGAGACTGCCTGCCCGCTCCATCTGTTCCTGTCCTCAGAGACACCATGCACCCCGTAGTGTATTGGAGTCAGCCACCCATTTGCCCTTCCTGCTCAGCCAACCAGAACAATAATAATCAGCACATCTGTTGAATGCTTACAACAATGCCAGTGATCTGTATCAATTATTTGGAATCCTTATACTTCCACAAAAGAACTATTATTACTCCTACAGATAAGAAAAATGAGACTTAAAGAGGGCTCAATTACTTGCTCAGCGTCATACAGTAAAGATGTGATGGTTGGATGGACGGATGAATGAATGAACAGGAGTCTTTCCTATTGCCTTGCTATTTTTTTCTTTTCCACCATAAACACCGGGGGTGGCTCCATGGAACTAAAGGAGCCAAATGGCTTTGGGGATTCCTGAGCCGAGGGAGCAGGAGGTTGGGAGTTGACACTGGTAGAGGTTAGCTCTGAGCAGCCCCAAGTTACTCAGTAACCGCAGATACTTGGTCCCCAGGGACAAACTGGCCAAGCTGGGCCAGCGCAGGCAGCAGACACCGGTTCCCCTTGGCCACCCTTCTGGCGCTCAGCTGGTCCCGGCTGGAAACTGGAGATGGAAGGTCAAAGAAGGGAAAGATCTCAGACCAGGCAGATTGAGAGCTGATGGCAGAGTCAGGGGCTTCTCAGAGGAGGCCTGGAGTGGAAGGAGGAGTGAGAGATGAAGCCCCTCACTACTCCATCAAGAGCTACCAGGGCCAGAGAAGGCAGGGAGAGGACGAAGGACCTTGGTATCACTTCACAATACAAAAGGAAACCATGGACTAGGCCTCTCCATTCTCTCTCCATAGCAACAGAGGAGAGAGAATCAGAGACCTAGAGGAATTAAGAGACTAAGGGCAACAACAGGTGACAAAGAGATGAGGGAGGCTGGAATCAGGGAGGCAGTTCACAGCAGACGCTGGGAAGGTCCAGCCTGCTCCTGGTTTTCCCTGGTTCTGCAGCTGTTGAAGGCTCTTCCCATCCCAGGCCTGACTAGTCCCTGCTTGGGCAGCCCTGAGCAACCCCCGACCCCCAAACAGGACTCAGGCAGAGTCTTGGGGCAGGAGGCTGGACCTGGGTAGAGCCTCCAGATACCGAATCATTATCCAGAGGATATTGACCTGATATCCTGCCTTGCCCCAGGAAAGGCTAGAAAACAAGCTTCCTGCTGAGCAAGTAAGGACAGAGAGTCTTTCTGGGACAGAGGCCACTGAGGGCCAGAAAGCCTGCCTGGCCAGCCGGGAGCAGTGCTACGGAGTCTGCCACCCAGAGTCTGACCCCTGGCTGGCACCTGAGTAAGGGAAACTGGACACCTAGAACCCAACTGTCCTCTAGAGTCCACTCTGCACCAGAGGCTGGAGCCTTTGAGGGGAGGCAGGGAGAGGTGAGCTGGGGAAGGGGAAGCAGGAAAGAAAAGGAAGAGGTTAGGGACTCTACTGTTGACCACATCCCTGCCCATTCCTGAGAAGGAGCCCTACCCTGCATCTGTTCTGGGGAGTGGCTGGCCCCTGGAGACCTAGGCCATACTCATGGGAGTGGCAGGTTTTCCTTTGGGCTGGGGTTTGGGACACCATTGCACACACCCTTGAGCTCCTTCCACACAACGGCTCCCCCATACAGGCGGGCCTGGGATGGGCGGCAGCGTAGACAGAGAGCCTCCCCTCCCACTAGCCGGTCAGGTGTCAGAACCAATAGTGCCAGGGTTCCACACCTGTTTAGAGCCCTTCAGTGGCCCAGCACACACTGATCTATAGAGGCCCTGTGCCTTAGCCTGGCCTTCAAGGGCTTCCTGACACCGCCCCCACCCTCCAGCAGCCTCAGTTCCTGAACACTCTGGATACTTACTCTGCCAAGCTCTGTGTTGGCCCCACTTCTTTTTTTCGGGGGGGACAGAGTTTCGCTCCTGTTGCCCAGGCTGGAGTGCAATGGCGTGATCTTGACTCAGTGCCACCTCCACCTCCCAGGTTCAAGTGACTCTCCTGCCTCAGCCTTCCGAGCAGCTGGGATTACAGGCATGTGCCACCACGCCCAGCTAATTTTTTTTTTTTTTTTTTTTTTTTTTTTTTTTACTTTTAGAAGAGACGGAGGTTTCTCCATGTTGGTCAGGCTGGTCTTGAACTCCTGACCTCAGGTGATCCTCCCACCTTGGCCTCCCAAAGTGCTGAGATTACAGGTGTGAGCCACTGTGCTCGGCCAGTCCCACTTCCCGTAATGTCTCCTCTTCTTTCCTCACTTGCCCAATTCATAGGTTGTCCTTCCAGATCACCTTCACACATTCATTACTTTCTCAAGAAGCAATTCTCCATCTCAGTCTCCTCCCTCACCCCTACCCCTGGGGCCTCTGCAGCCCCTCCTCCTGGATCCCTCTAGTTTCTGTTCTTGACCGGGTTGTGCGCTTATCCCACTGGTAATCAAATTTCCTCCTAAGTGTCTGTCTCCACACCAGACAGTGGTTCCTGGAGGGAGGGGCTATCTGGTTTATCTCTAAAGCCTGCCTCACAGTAAGGGTTCAGTAAATGTGTCTCCTTCATGTCTGTCCACCAGGTTCCCCAGTGGATGCCAGTCTTGCTTTTGTAATAAGGAACTCTGGACTTGGAACTGAGAAGCCCTCCCTGCATCCAGCCTCCCTCCGCTCCAGCTGCAGAGGCAGCCCAGGCCCTCTCACATCCACACTGGGCATGCAGGGAACCTGTGTGTCAGCGTGGCCCCTGCCCAGCCTACTTCTCTGTGGTGTGGTATAGATTGGGGGTGGGAAGGGGAGGAGGCTTGGAACGGTCTAAATGACTCCACTGCAGAGGCCCAGACGAGCCTGGTTAATCATCAGTGCCTGGAGAGCACTGTTTATCTCTGTTCTCCATCTCTGCTATTCAGTAAGGAAAAGAAAGATTGAGTAACCCCCAACCCTCTCTTGTGTTAACCCTAGAGGGGCCAGACCAGGGTTTTTTTTTTTTTTTTTTTTTTTTTTTTAATAAAAAAAAAAATTGTTTTTTTTTTTTTTTTGAGAGGGAGTTTTGCTCTGTTGCCCAGTCTGCAGTACACTGGCACTATCTCAGCTCACTGCAACCTCCTCCACCTTCCGGGTTCAAGCGATTCTCCTGCCCCAGCCTCCCAAGTAGCTGAGATTACAGGCGCACGCCACCACCCCCAGCTAACTTTTTTTTTTTCTGAGATGGAGTTTTGCTCTTGTCTCCCAGGCTGGAGTACAATGGCACATCTCACATCACCGAAACATCTGCCTCCCAGGTTCAAGTGATTCTCCTGCCTCAGCCTCCCTAGTAGCTGGGATTACAAGCATGCGCCACCACGACCGGCTAATTTTGTATTTTTTTTAGTAGAGACGGGGTTTATCCATATTGGTGAGGCTGGTCTAAAACTCCTGACCTCAGGTGATCTGCCCGCCCCGGCCTCCCAAAGTGCTGGGATTACAGGCGTGAGCCACCACAGCCAGCCCAGACCAGGGTCTTTAAGGGCCACTTATTCTTTGGGAGACACTCTAAAGTAACATCATGTATGAGGATGCGGGTTCTCTCACACCCAGATCTCACAGCTGTGCCCTAGCAGGGCAGAACACAGGGCGCCTTTCCAGGGTCCCTTCCAAGGACCTGGCACAGGAACAATGCCAGGGTCAGTGCCAGGATTGTGCGACTCCCTTCCTCCAAATCCTGGCCCCACCTCGGGCCAAGGGTCCAGGACCCCCGACGCCCCGCTTCTGTCCCCCGGGGCCCTGGGCCTGCGGCAGGTGAGGGCGGGGCCTCCGTGGGCGGGGCTCCGCGAAACCTGCTCGGTCGCTGGGGATTGCTTGCCAGAGCCTGCGGGCGCCAGCGGAGATCGCAGCCCACAGCCATGGCGGGGTCTCCCAGCCGCTCCGCGAGCCGGCGACTGCAGCTGCCCCTGCTGTGCCTCTTCCTCCAGGGAGCCACCGCTGTCCTCTTTGCTGTCTTCGTCCGCTACAACCACGAAACCGACGCTTCCGTCTGGCACCGGGGCAACCACAGTAATGCGGACAGTGAATTTTACTTTCGCTACCCAAGTGAGTGCGGGGTTAGGGCGCGCGGGAAGCGAAGACCCCAAGCTTTGCAAAGACCCTCCGGTGTCTTGGGAGGGAGCATTTGGGTGCCCGCATCTAGCTGGGCAGCCCTCTGGCTCTGAGGTGGAGGGGCTCTGGGTTTAAAATCGCACCCTTTCACTAGTGCCTGCTATGATCCAGCGTACCGTGTTGGTATATACGCATTATCTCACTTAGTCTATGAGATAGACAAAGGTGGGGAAACTGAGGCTTGATGAAGTGGCTGATTCAGAGTCACACAGTCACAAGTGGGAGAGTTAGGATTCGAAGCCAGATCTAGAGCCCCAGCTTTAGCCATCTCCCAGTTGGCCTAATTGGGTTTTGCTGGGCTTTCCCAGACTTTCCCAGGGACTGCCTTTTCTAGGGGCTCCACCCTGAGCATGGGAAAGAGAATCCTGCTGAGCAGGGAAGGTAGGAGTGGGGGTGCGAGAGGCCATAATGGCAAGTGTTAGGTATGAATCGCCCACATATGTAGGCAGCCAAGACCAGGTAGGATCAGGAATTTCTTTCCCAGTCCCTCAAAGCTGATCCTTTCAGAGACAAAGAGAAATGAGGCAACCGGCCAGTCACAGTGGCTCACACCTGTAATCCCAGCATTTTGGGAGGCTGAGGTGGGTGGATCACCTGAGGTCAGGAATTCGAGACCAGCCTGGCCAACATGGTGAAACCCCATCTGTACTAAAAACACAAAAATTACCCAGGCGTGGTGGTGGGCAACTGTAATCCCAGCTACTTGGGAGGCTGAGGCAGGAAAATCACTTGAACCCGGGAAGTGGAGGTTGCAGTGAGCCAAGATCGCACCACTGCACTCCAGCCTGGGTAACGACAGAGTGAGACTCCATTTCAAAAAAAAAAAAGGAAAGAAAAAGAAAGAAAATGAGGGACCCTGTACCTGCTAATCATGGAGCAGCAGCCCCCAGACCTGGGAGGAAGCATGGCAGGTTCATTAGCCCATTTCACAGAGGGGGAAGCTGAGTCTCAGAGGGATTGTGAGTTGTTCACGATCACCCATCATGTGAGTGACAGAGCTAGAACTAGAACTTAGGCATCCTAAGCTTTTTGCCTCACAAGTCACCTGCCTGCTGACAAGTTTCAACAGAGAGAGAGAGAGAGAGACAGAGAGAGTTAACCTCCCACACCCACCCTCAGCCCCATGGGAACAGAGCCCCACCTTCAAAGTTGGGGCCCCTGCCTTGTAATTCAGGCCCTAGGCAGCTGGGACCAAGAGCACCAGATCTCCCAGAATTTATCACAAATGCTTGGGCAGGTATCTCCAAGCCTCAGTTTTCCCCATCTGAGCAAGGGGGAAAAGGATGCCTCAGTTTGAAGGAGATACATTCAAACAAGTCCTGAGTATGAAAATCTCCTATGAAAAATTTCAAGCTGTTCTTACCTTTTCTTTTCTTTCCTTCTTTCTTTCTTTTTCCTTTTCTTTCTTTCTTTTCTTTCTTTCTTTTCTTTCTTTCTTT